AGACATGATAGAGGTGTTCAGAATTATGCATAAAGTAAAAGAAGTGGAGAGGGAAACATTTTTCTCCCTCTCCTGTAAAACTAGAACCCTGGCACATCTCATGAAGCTAACTGGTAGGAGAGTCAGGGCAGATAAAAGTAGCAATCCTTCACATAGCACAAAGTTAAACTCATTTCCATGGGATGTAGTGCCGATGACCAATTTGAACAACATTAAAAGGGGACTGGACAATTCATGAAGGTGACAGTGCCTATTAGTCTTGATGATGCTATGAGGGCTGGGATTTCTAGTCTAACACATATGGATTAGCAGAGACCAGACTGGAGGAGACTGGTCTATACTGTAGCGGCAAAAAGCCAAGCAGTGTTGTGATGCCATAAAAGACCAATTGTTTTTGTCACAGCAGGGCTTTAGTAAGAAAGCATCACTTTTATCAGATGCATAATGTAAACCATTCATATATCTGAACTAGTTTTATGTGTACCAAAGCAAAGCAGGTGTCAAACAACATGCCAAAAAGGATTGGCAATTTACATATCTCACAGATCAGTAAACAAGTTGATGCCAAAACAAAATCACAGTTGCATGAGCTAGGCCAAATTTGCCAGTGAGAAAGTTAGTAATATAAAGTTGAACAATTCCCATCTCCAGTGGCAGGCAGCAGCTTTAACACTGCATAGCAACCTGGGTTCTACAGCTCAGAAATGTTGAAGGCTAAATGTCTTTTAGCCTTAAGGCCAAATTCCATTTTGGAGAAACTCTTGGGAGCTGTCTTCCAGTGATTAGTGAGGCCAAAAGCAAAGCTGGTGGGGCTGAAGACAAAAAGGTGAAGCCAAGAACACCAGAAACATCAGCATATCATAGCTTAAAGATCTTAAAGTAATGCCTTAAGAGAGCTATTTCAAACTTTTATAATGGGGGAAAATTCATAAAAGCCAGTTAAACCACCAAATAATGAGTGCTTTGGGGAAAGGGGTAGAGCCAGGGGAAGACATGTGGCCATCTAGAGAACCCAGCAGGCTGAATTGTAACTGCAGGAGGACCAGATTTGGTGCCTGGGCCTATAGCTCCCCACCCTGATATAGCCAATCCCACAAAAACCATCAATTTGCTCATAGCATGCCACAAAGAAAATATTGTGTGGGGAAAAGAACATTATTTATCTTCAGTGTCCCCCATATGGTAATTATATATACTTACCTTATTTTTGCATGATTGTTAAGCAGTTCTGTCCTTAAATTTGTAGCAGTCAATTTTTAAACTTCTTCAATATGGTGCTTTGGGGCATTTAGATAACCCTGTTACTGGGAGATAGCAGAAACAGCAACTCTATGGCAAGTTCACCTCACCTTGCCCAGAATCCTATCCTTGTGTCCTGGAAGAACCAGTTCCATGCTCTACCCTTCAGTGAAGACATGATGAGGTAGAAACTCCATCCAGAGACCCAATTAACATGATTCTTCCCTCTTAAACAGCAGAAGATTGTTCACAGTTGTATACCACCCAGAGAGCTTCAGCTGTGGGGTGGCATAGAAATGAAATCAATCAAAATGCCATCAGGTTCCATGTGGATTGCTGGCATCACATGATATCATGCATGTGGAGTGGCACCATTCCTTCTCCACAGAAAGGATTGTCTCAGGCAGGTTAAATGCTGGCTCTGTGCTGATGAAGAGCTGTAGAGGGCTTATGAAAGGCATCTGTGGGACCTCAACCTTCTGGTCAACTTTCTGAGCTTCATTTGCCTCTTGGCTACTGAAGTTTGAGGGTCCTCTACTGGGCAGGTGGCTATTATGGGGCAGTTAGTCCTGCTCAGTCTGTGAGTTAATATGGCAGTAGCTGCCTGAGAAGCTGCCCGTAGTGTTCAGTTTCCCATAATGTCCTGGAGCAGGTCAAGTGCTTTCAGTCTTTGTGGGCAATTTTGCCTGGATGTTTGCTTCTCAAGCCCTGCTGCTGTTGTGCAGAAAAGGCCAGTGGGCCTGCCCTGCCAGTATACTAGGGCCTGGGCTGCTACTTGGGGGAGAAAGGAGTTGATGCTGACTGTGTAGCAACCACAGAAAGCCTGGGAAGAAGAACTTCCCCAGACTTTCACTCTTCCTAACTATGCAAAGCCTGAGAATGTGAATAAATTAAAATCATTCCTTGTAAGGCTCGGAGATGTTCTGTGAATGGAACAGCTCAAAGCTGCCTCTGGAAACATGTGACAAAGGATCGAGTTACAAGGTTCCTGTAGGGGGCCATCCTCTGTCCTGGAGAGCTGGCAGGCTTGTATTTGAAGATGTCTTCTATTTAATGGGCTGCCAGTTCCAAGTATAGGTTAAACACAAAGAGCCATAAGGAGGGAGCTGAGATCAGAGGCCTCAAAGATGTCCATGAACACTTAGCACCTGAACAGCAACTGAGTAAGCACACAGGTTACCTGGACTGTCTTGTCTATTATGGACAAGTGCCATATTTTCATTCAAATCACAGTTATTATTTGTATTTTTTCACCTATATGCACTTGCATCTGCAAATTAGCACCCTCTCTTGTGTTCTTTTTAGGATTTTCAGGCCCCCTATTTTGCAATGAGTAAGTGGCCACCTTAAGCAGCCCCTCACTACAATGATTAGAAACAATTTCAGAAACCCATTATGACTGGAAAGGTTTTCCAACGCAGTTCCATTTGGATCCAGACAGGATATAACTTTCAGCTTCTTGCCAAATGGATGCTGGCACCATTCCACAAAAAATAATAGCCACCATGTGATTCTTTGGTTGACTAACCATGCTCAGAAAACAAAACCTTCAGGCACTGCCAAAGGTGTCAGCAACACATATGTGGGATTTCTCCCTGGGCAGGAATGGGAGTATAGCAGGACCATAAAAGGTGCAGTTGCTTCCCTGATATACCAGACTTAAAGATGCTGAGCCTGAGAGGGCTCCTTCGTCTTAAAGAGGGGAACATCACCCTGAATTGCTTCTTTTGTTCTGAAGTCAAGTGGGAGAAGAAAGCATACCTGTCAGTATTTTCCCTGCTTATATCTTATGAATAGGTGCACTCTCTGAGTCTGATTTATTTATTTATTTGGGATATTTCTAACCTGTCCAATCACTATCCGTCTCTGGATCACTTACAAACAAATTCAATAAATACAACAATATAAAAGATCATAAATATCCCAAACAATAATAAAACCAATAACCCATGACTGAAGTGAAACTTAATTAAAATCTTTTAAACATTAAAATATTGGGTGAATGAAAAGGTCTTAACCTGGTGCCGAAAAGGCATATCATGTCGGCGCCAGGCAGACCTCTCTAGGGAGCACATTTCATAGCCGGAGCACCACCACAGAGAAAGCCCTCCTCTGGGCAGTCTGCCTCCCAATCTCCTTCAAGGAGGGTTTCTGGAGCAGGGCCTCTGCTGCAGATCTTGAGGGGCAGGAGGGCATGAAGGGAAAAAGATGTTCCTTTAGGTATCCTGGTCCCAAGCCATTTAGGGCTTTATAGGTCATAACCAGCAACTTAAATTGGTCCTGGACTTCAATGGGAAGCCAGTGAAGCTGATGGAGGACCGGAATTATATGAGAGCAACAACCTGTCCCTGACAGCAACCTGGCAGCTCTGGTTCTAGCAGCCTTATCTTTAACCCCAAATCTGGGTAGACATCATAGAACTGTGATGCAGAAAATGAGGCTGTGCTTCAAGCTACACCCGCCATCAGACAGCCCTGACTTATAGGCTCCTTCCACTTTGACCTCAAGCTACACCCGCCATCAGACAGCCCTGACTTATAGGCTCCTTCCACTTTGACCACAAGCCCATCTTAACCCAAAACACTACTTGTCTATGGTGCAAATAGTTCTGAAAGTAGCACAAGGAAGGACCCTTGGTTAGTTAGCAGCAGCTTCTGTCATGCGCTCAGCATGACTACACTTCGTATCAAGTTTAGGCAGGATGCGGGAGTGGAGCATGATTCAGATGATAGTGCGAGAAACAAACTATGCGGCAAGCTGCTGGTGGGGTGTAAGGAGTTTTAATTTCCTGAAAGGATTCAGCTTTCAGATCTGAAGGATTGCTGAGCTCACTGGTGAAGGGGAGGGGTGTTGAATGGGCCTGGCTGGCAGCCTTCAGATATGCTAAGTTGCTGTTGCAGTTAAAACATCATTTTTGGTACTATCTGCACCACATGCTTAATCTTCTTGTTAGATTTCTAAGCACCCCAGCAAGGCAGGAACTGATTTCAAAACTGAGGCAGGAATCAAGACCGCTTGGAAGCCTTGTAAACTGAACCCTGGCCATGGGAGAGGAATTGGTGGTGATTCTGCAATCTGGGGGAGCACTCGTTCCTTTAAGTTTAATTTACAGTTAGCAATCAAACCTCTCGGGGGAAGGGATGAGCACACAGATACTGAGTCTAAACCTTACCTCAAGATAAGATCTAATGCCACAAGCATTCATCTTCCCCCTCACCTTAGCACCATAATCTCAATATCCATTCAAACAAAAAAGTCCACATTCTGAGGGCCAAATGCTAACCAGTCTCTAACCCAATCCGCAGGAGATTCCCGTTTCCCCACCGCTGTGTGCCTTTACTCAGGACAGAGTGCTGCTCCTCACCAGAAATGTGTGTTCGACAGGAAAGAGGTGCAGGCACCGAAGCCTACCTGGCAGCTAGCAACCAGTGACGGGGGCGCCTACTCCGCTAACCCCAGATCCGTTCGGAAGGCGCTGTTCACACACTGGTGTGGGGAAAGGCATTCACACACGCTGTTCACACACTGGCGTGGGGAAAGGCACACTCCCATCTCACCACTTCCACGGCTGCGCCCTGGCCCTGGAAAGAGGCTCCCACTCGGAGCAGCAACCCTGGGCCTTCCTCAGGCCCACTAGAGGTGATCAGTCCTGAGTCCTCGGGCCGCCCCGTCCGGGAAGAGCAGCAGTTACTCGTGGCGACGGCTGGGCCGCAGCTTGCCCAGCGCCGCGCTGCGCCCCGCCAGCCCCGCTTTGTCCATACCTTCCAAGCCTGTGATGGTCACGGTGGCACTGCTGGCGGCTTCGCCGTGCTCGTTCTTGGCCACGCAGCTGTAGAGCCCAGCATCAGCCGCTTTGCTGTTGCGGATGCGGAGGCTGCCATACTCCTCCTCCGCGCCCCCCTCTCGGGGGGGAGCAAAAGGTGCCTTCTCTTTGTACCAGGTCAGGTGTGGCTGGGGCCGGCCGGCGACCACCACCCTCAGCACGAGGTCGCAGCCGAGAGCGGCGGCCGTGTCCTTCAGCTCCTGCAGGAAAACGGGGGCTGCAGGGCCTCCCTCCTCAGCCGTGACTTTTGCTCTCTTCGGAGGGATGGTGGGGCTTGGCGGCGCCCTCCCGGAGCCCCGGCCTGCCCCTGCGGGATCTCCGGTGGCCCGACCGAGGCTGCTTTGACCCGGTGGTTTTTGCATGGCGCCGAGGGGCCCGAGACCTCGCTCACTCTCCCACGGCCGTGGGTCGCCGGTCTCTCGCCTAGGAGGCTGCCGTCCCAACAGCCCCGCAGAGCCCCTCCAAGACCCGCGGCAGCCGTCCCTTTTGTTCGATGGTTACCCCGCCAGTGTGCGACCCCCGGCTCCCGGGTACCTGCCAGGGGGCACGGACGCTGCTCCAGGTGCCTGCCCACCAAGCAGCACAAAGTCCCAGAAGGTCATTTCTCTGCCAGGCGGACGGGGGGTTATTTTTAGGCTGGTCTCAGGTTGCAGCCAGCCCATCCCGACGCATCAAGGGACTGTGTGCCTGGGGCGCAGCCCTCCCGCTTTGCTGAATACCCGACTCCCCGGACCGGTAGCTCCTGCAATCTGGACTGTCTCTTAGTGGGCCTGACAACCCCCAAACCCCAGAAACCCCTCCTTTTTTTGTTTTATTGCAGCCCAACATGAACGATCCCAGGCCCCTGTATAGTTCCCCCCTCCGCCCAAGTAGCAGCTGCAGTCTGATATGTCACATTCCTTGAGAAGAGCAGGGAGCGTATGACTGCAGGATGGCTTAACTTCCCCAGCAAAGATAGACATGGGAGGATGGTGCTTGCCATATTAGTGCGGGGTGGGGGGTGGGGGTGGGCAAGGGCCTCCTAGGCTCAGCCTGCCCTTTGCTGTTCCTGCATAGTGCATGTTAGGGACACTTGGAATGCCACACGCGGGGGGGGGGGGGGAGAGTGTGCCCCCTCTATGGTCCAAGGGCCATAAGATTTGGAGTGCAACTCAGAGAAAGATAAGGACTGTTCTCTTGTGTAAGTTATTTTGCGCAAACTGGGGTAGAGGGAGTATTTGATATTTTTCTTCTTTGCTTCTGAGTAGACATGACTCCTAGTGTACATTGATGAAATGGAGTGGAGAATTGAGGATGCTTCCAACCCTGCCCAGTTTTACCTGTCACTCCACCTACCACTGGAATTCAACACCCAAGAGCTTTTCCAAAATAGAATTATTATTACAATTATTAATTTCATTTCTATACTACCCAATAGCCAAAGTTTGCAAAGTACATAAAAACAATACAATAAAATACCACATCTTATCAAAATACAATCATTTTAAAGTGGAAAAATAAAAGCAGCTAAAACAACCTACAGTGAAGAACAGCCCTGTAAATACCTGGGATGGGTATTTCTCTCAAGCCCTTGGATGTCCACATATATCTTGCAAAGCTTCATCATAAAGACTCATTTTAACCTGACACCCAAAAGGTGACAAAATGACAGGCCTCCGCATTGAGGTCGTTTGGCCCCCCAGGCTTAAAAACATTTATTACCCCTACTTTAAACACAGCTCTTTTACCCCTGTGTGCTCTCACTCTCTCTGTCTCACTGACACATGCACACACAACACAACCAAATATCCCTTGAAATGTGAAGGGTGAAAGAGGCTGCAAGTAAGCTTGGATAGCTGGAGTCTTCCACTGCACAAACAAAACTTTTGTCCACAGCATTGATCCTGCAGGGAGCACCCGACTGACAGCTTCTGGGATACCCCCATTGTTCCCTTGGCTTCTTTATGGTGGAGTTCTGTGTGTCCAGGTGTAGAAGTACAGCCAATTCTGAAGCACAATGCACGAGGGAGGTAGCACTGACTTTGTGAGGAGGAGAGAAGGCAAGAAATGCAGCCAAGAAAGAGAAAAGAAGAATGGTATACTAGGCCCAAGTTCAAATCTGCCTTCAGCCATGAAGCTCACAGGGTGACCTTGGGCTAGACAAGGATTATCAGTCTAACCTACCTCACAGGGTTGTTGTGAAAATAAAAAGGGTGGCAGAGAACTATATATACCACTTGCAGCTCCTTGGAGAATATTCTAAGCATAGCATATAAATAATCAAATAATGGTCTCCAGGCAATATCTGGCAAAGGATGAGTAGAGAGGGAGATGGAGGGGGCTGTGGAGGTGCAGGTGGGCATAAAGCACAGGGAAAGGTGGGGAGGGGGGCATTAGGACCTGGGATCTGCTTCTTATGAGGAGTCCAGGGCTAAACTATCAGAGAAGAGAGTTGCTTTTGAGCAACAATGGCAGAGCGCTACAACAAGCCCAGGTTCCAGCTGCGTTTTGCAAAGGCAGGTTCTTACAGGTGGAGGAGGCTGGAACAGTCTGCAACAGTCCATGCATGAGACAGAACAGCAGGGTTCCGCCCTGGAAAACAGGAAATATGCGACCATAAAGGCACAGATAACATTAAGCTCTGCCACCCCACTCGGGCAATCCGTTCTGCGGAACTGCAAAATTTGGTGCGGAACCATGGGAAGTTTTGAGCTATGGTGCCACCTGCTGGAAAACAGTTTCCTTTCAGGCTGCTTAAGCTTAAAGAAGAACAAAGGAGAGTTAAGCAGTAGATTTCCTTGGCTGTAACCTATGGACGGCTTTTCTGCATTTAGTCACTCCAGTATAATCTTCCCAAACTTCTTCTGTTCTTCTGTGTGTCTCCTGAATGTTTTGGGCTATAGTTCCCGTGATACCTAACCATGAACCATTCTGGATGGGGTTGATGGGAACTTAAGACCAACATCTGGAAGAAACTAGGCTACGAAAGGCTATTTTAATAGGGTTCTTCAGTGTGAAAAAGCCTATTAGATTAACAACTGAAAAGCCCCTAGTTTAGGTCTCAAGCTCTGAACTCATTATTTTCTTAATCTCCCTCACTATCCCCGAGTAAGAAAAATGAGTAAGGGGTTCACTGGCTACTAGCACTTTGGAGACAGTGCATGGAAAAATAAAAAGAATGTGTATGCAGCACATGAAAGTGCATAAAAATACAGAATACAAAGCAAATACTAAAGAAAAATAGAATTACTAACATGTTTTTCCATCTCTAGTTTTCTTTGGGTCCCAAGGAACCTTTGTTAAACTGAACAATGCTTTGGAAAATGCCAGACAACCCCACAATAAACCCAGTGAGTAGCATCATCATTGTCATCGTCACTGTTGTCATTGTTGCAGAGAACAGCTGATATTCCATATGAGCTTAGAAAGCCTTCTGGCAAATTGGATGAAGACTATTGAAATAAGTACAGAGAAAGATAAGAACTTGTAGGGACATGTGGTACAATGTGCTGCCGGCAATGAAGTATCAGTTGGATTGCTTTATACCTTGACACATAAATACAGTATACACAGTGAAGCACAAGTGGCTTTCTCCAGTGCAAGCAATTTGCAACAGATATGCGCAGAGAAGATGCATACATCTAGTTTGGAATCCAAATGGATAAATGGGAATGGCAGGAACCTTACAGACCGATTTTCACAACATTGGGAGGAATTATTCATCTGCTTCGTCTTTCAGAAAAAGGCCTATAAAGATCAATGGCTTGGATCCAGACTTAATCTTATTTAAAAGAGACTCATGGTATGAAGAGCTGTGCCAGATCAGATCAAAGGCCTAACTTGTCCAGCATTTTGTACACCCATCTCCATTGATTTCAACAGATCTAATTTAACTATGACTAAGTTTGACTCCAACCAAGAGGCAGAAGTCCACACAAATGTATCTTTGATATCCACATAGTAGATCTGAATTAGTTCATACCCTATTTAAAGAAAAACACCAGCAATTATGCTTGTTTTTAATGGTAACTAGCAAGCATCTCCAAAGAAGAGGGCAATTAATATTCACTAACAGATCTTGCACTCTAGAAAATGAAAGAAAGCAAGCATTGAGTGTGAATTCATCTTAGCTTACAAATGAAGGCTTATAATTCAACCAATAGATGCTTGTGGTCCATCTCTGTACGATTTCATACAGAGAGGGGAAGTGTTGAGTGTGTGTGTGTGTGTGCTGGGTGGAAGAAGAATCTTGTGTGCAAACTGGAAGCTTTACAGTTATATAGAAGATGGTGGATGATCCAGAAACCAAGGCAACAGCAGCTATCAAATGTGTGCCTATATATAAGTACTCATAGGGCTTCTCTACATTATGCATTAAGCCCAACAATTTACTGAGGCTTCTGCTTTCCAATTCTTTGTGAGATTAAGACTGGCTCCTTTATGTGTGGGGATTTTCCCCCAGTCCCCATCCTTCTTTCTTTGTCTTTCTATACATTCCATTACATCAACACAAGGTGGCACAGCAGTGCAGAAGAAGTGCAAAAGTACACAAGCTTCTCATTGTTCATTCTGCCATGTTCAGAAAATTACTTTCTTTCCTCTTTAAAAAAAAGGCCATGGAAATGTTTGAAAAGCACAGGAGAGGCCCTGTAGCAGATCCTGGCAACCCACAGTGAAATTGCTTTCCTGCATTCAGGTGAGACAACAGCCCATCCTGGAGATAACGATCTCTAGAACAGGGGTCTCAAACTCGCGGCCCGCGGGCCAATTGCCGGGACGGGCAGGGCACAGGGGAGGGGCCCTGCGGCCTTCAAAGCGCCGGCGGCGCCCGGGCCGGCCTCCGGGAGCGACGCGGGATGAGCGGCCCACCACCACCACGGTGGTGGAATACTTGATGCGGCCCAGCCTCACCCAGACTCTACTTCCAGCGGCCCCCAGGTAAGTTGAGTTTGAGACCCCTGCTCTAGAACAAACCTTGCATTGTCAGGATGGCTCATTTGCAAAAAATAAACCACCTGTGCGAAGCAAAGTGACCACATCTGTACAAGATGGCAAGCCACTGTGGCTAGCAACCAATGGTGGCTTGTCATATTGTGCAAATCACTGCATGCCCATACCAGATACTGAGTGCTGGGTTTTGAATGGCCTCGGATTATCTGGGCATTATTGTTCTTTCAGCTGTGCCAGGCCCTAACCCCTCATATACACACTTAAATAAGTCACTCTAATGTATCCAGTTACTTATTGTTATTGCATTCCATTTATATTCCGCCTTTGTTTTTCCTGCACGGAGCCCCAGGTAGCTTATTAGTTTCTCCTCCTATCCATTTTTCCTCACAACAACCCAGTGAAGTAGGTTAGGCTGAAAGTCCATGACTGGCTCCAAATCACCCAGTGAGCATCATGGCTGAGTGGGGGCTAGAACCCAAATTTCCTGAATCCAACACTCTAAGATCTTCCATCCTTTAACAGACCACCCCCTTCCTGGGTTCATTGTCCCCACAAAGGAATCTTCTGGGTTTCAAGCTGGATGGGGCAGGCCTATTCCTCCAGAAGTTTGACAGGAAGCCTGCTTCTCAGTCACCGGGGAGGCCTGTTATTAATATTCCAGGAGTGACACCTGTTAAGATTTCAGCCAAGTCAGAATCAGACTCTGTCCAGGGCTGGCGTCAAGGGCAGGTGTCACCTGACACCTGCCAAGAGCTCACACCGCAGCAGAGACCCACTGGCAAGAATGCTCTGGGCTTGCTCCTGCCTGTCTCCATTGCAGCTGGCTTGATCGCCGGCTTTTTGCTCTGGCCCAGGCAGCAGTGGCCCTGAAAAGGGGGAGCAGGAGATACCCCTGCCTATTTGCAGCCTGGCCCCCTGCCTGTGAAGTAAGCCAGCAGGGGCAAGGCTGAGGAGGAGGAGGGTGGGGCCCCAGAGCAATGGGGTGGCAAGGCGCACTCACAGAGGGAGGGCACTGCCTGAGCAAGGGCACTCAGACCAGGCGTTGGCACTGCTGCGGTTGTCATGGGAGTAAATAGAAGGGCATTTTCTGAGCTTGCTTTTGCCTCATGCGGGCATGAATGTCAGTCCTGGGAGGTGTGCAGGGCTGGTCCATACACAAATGTACTTGTTCCAGAAATGTTTTGTAATAGCACTGTTACTGCATGGCTAGGATTTAAAAGTTTTAGTTTTGATGATTAATGCCAGGGTGGTGATGGTGGTGTAATTACATGGCTCTCAATATGTATGGTTGTCCTGTACTTTCTCCTGACAAAGATATTTGAAACACCCTGGGGAGAATTATTATTCATTATGTTATAATTAGGTCCAATTGGCTTTGCTTTTTGCTTTTCTCCTGCTATTTGTGCAGCCCCGTTTCTTTAGTTTGAAGAAATAATAAGTCAGATCACATACTGTTTAGGCTGCATTCATTTGAACAAAAACAAATTTCAGGAGGGAAAGGGGCTTAAGTTCTGGATTGTGTGACCATGCTCTATGTACAGAAGTTTATTCCCTCAGTTTATGTCACACAAAGGAACCCATTTTTGTAAAGTTATGAAGCAGACTGAAAACAAACAACAATACTTACCTTTTGTATCACAATTGTCATGATGCAAAGCACATCACATGCATTGTCTAGCTGTAGCCCTTACAATGTCCTTTTCAGATAAGTCAATATTATTATGCCGATTCTGTAGGTGTCAGGGAAAAGAGGACAGAGCCAGTGTGATGCGGTGGTTAAGTGGGCAGGAAATCTGGATTTGAATCCCCATGCAGCCATGGAGCTCATTGGGCAACTCAGGGCTAGTCAAAGACTCTTAGTCTAGCCTACCTCACAAGGTTGTTGTGAGGGGAAGGTTGAGAGGAGGAGGAGGAAGAGGAGAGGTATATGAGCCACCATGAGTTCTTTGAAAGGAAAAAAGGAAGTATATAAATATAAGAAAAAATTAGATTGCCTTGCCTAAGACAACCTAGTGAGTACACTGTAGAAGAGAGATTCAGGCTAGGAATGTCTTAATCCACAATTTAGGGAGCAGTCCTAAAACAGAAAAAAGCCTGGCTGGAGCAAGCTGGGAGTATAGGCCTTTTTTCTGCCTGAGCATGCATATGAGTAGGGTTGTACCTTTAGTGGGCTAGCCACTATGGTACATGAACTTCCATAAATAAATGTAAGCAGGATGACCAGGCAAAGGACGGAGTTGCTGATCTATGATGAAAGCATTTCAGCTGCCACTGCTTTTCTCCTACTTGCCTGTCAAACAACACAATGGCAATGCAAACAACACCTGTTGAAAATCTGTCTTCCACACAACATTTCAAGGAACCCAAGCTCTCTCTTGTTTGTTATCCTACAAAAGAGGCCTTTGCACAGAGCTTTTGGAAATTTGAAAGGTAGGGGAGACAGGAAGCACCAGCAAACTTACACCTTCTCTTTTGACATTTCTGTATGACGTTCACTCAGTAAGCTGCCCTCAGTAGATTACTGCATACAGATGCCTGCAAGCTGCAGGATGCAGGATGTGAGTTGACTTTCCTGTTTCCTCCCACTTCCCAAAAGCCAAGTGCCATGGCTGCCCTCTGCTTTGCATTCTAGGCCAGGAATAATCCTCCTCCCAGTGGCAAGCAAAGGCACCACAGAACCGTGTGCAGCAGGACTCCGGTTGTACTGTCAACAAATAGTTGAGGCACGGTGGCACAGACTTCACTTCTCAGAGAACAGAAACTGAAGCTGCTGCTATGGTTCATGTGGGAAAATATTATACTATTGGTTTTACAATCATTTGAGGAGTTTTTGAACTTGTCATTTCAATATATTTTGTTCCCTCCTTGTGAGAGGAGTATGTTGTAAATTTTGTCAGCAAGCCTAAAAATCTGCATATAGATAAACAAACATACATTAAATTGGGATTGATGCAAGTTAATTGTTTTCCAGAAGACTCTGAAGAATTACTCTTCTAATGGAAAATACTCCATGAAGCTGCATCTCTGCAGACATATGCACATCGGCCCTGTTGCTTCAGGTGTCAAGGATGCATGTCTGAAGGTGTGTACTCGGGCATATGCACATCAGGAGCACTTGCTAAGATGGGGGGACCCCCTTCTTGATGGATGTAGTGCTGGGCAGACCTCAGGCCTCAGTGGGAAGGGTTAGTTCATGTAAGGACTGCAGCACCTCCCTTTCAAGCATTTTCAACCATATATATTTACTGTGTGGCAGAAGTTTATCCGAGTGCTGCTTCTCCTGACTCTACAGCATGATCAGAAGAACAGGTGGATCTCTTAATCTGCTGAAGCCCCAGAATCTCCCTTTGGGTTATCAGCAACTCTGATAGTAAAGGTTTGTTTTGTAATACAGGAGGAAGGTGCAATAGGACTTGTCCAGTCAAGAACAGGAAAAAAAGAAACACAGTCAACAGGTTTTGTGCTCCATGGTTTATTGCTCACTCGGCAGAGCCAGGTATGTGCTGGGTTGGGAGGGTCGGGGGCATTCAGCCTCTCTCCATCTCCTCTCTCCTCTTTCACTCATGCCCACCAACTATCTCTCACTCCCTCGCTCTCCCCTATATCCATCACCTGCCAATTCCTTCTCTTAATCTTGCCCAACCCCCCTAAGTCTAAAACACTCCCTTGTGGCAGCCCCTGCAGGACAGGTTTGGGATTTGGGACAGGAAGCCTCTCCTAGTGAAGGGTGCATCAGCCCTTTGGCAACCTTCTCCTCTCCTCGGCGACCCTAATAGCCTCCATCCCAGACTAGGCACCTCACTTTGCAGCCGGAGCAGAGCATTTAACCTGTTCAGAGTCCAAGCCTCCTACTCTAATAGCCCCACTCACTCCTCCTTTGGGGTTCTTCTCACTCTTCCGCCTCTGCCCCCTGCACTGGCAGGAAACCCCGGCTGAGGTGCAAAGGTAAACCCTCGTCTGGAGGAGCAAGTCAAGACAAGGAGCCTTGCCGGGCTGGAGGGAAGGACATCACCTGCAGCTAGACACACCAGCCCGTCAGCCCCCAAGCGAGGAGTCCTGCTCCACTGGGGGCAGGGGCGCTCTGTGGCTTTGGTCCTGGAGGCAATGCCTGGCAGTTGGCTCTTCCTCATTCTCTGCTACACCCACTTCCGTTTCCCTTGCCCCTCGAGTGCCAGCGGACAGTTCCGTGACCCAGGGGCCTTGCGGGGACAGGGCGGCAGGGCCCATGCTCGGGGGGGAGTGAAGCTGCGCGTGGCGTCAGGGCACACTATTGTGGGTCAGGGCATGCATCGTGCACAGGCGGGTGGGCGAGAGTTCTGTTTGCAGGCAGTGGTAGGGGATACAGACCCTACAGTGGCAGGAAGCCTCTCCCCGCTGCCAACACATGAGCACGCACGCATGCACACACACACAGAGCTGCACCTTGCTTGCAGTCCCCTCACCTCAAACTTCCAAGGTAAGAAGAGGAGAAGGGGAGTAGAAGGAGAGAGGCTTTGGGGAACTGGATGCAGGGAGCGCTTCACACACACGGTTGGGTGTGTGAGGTTCTCCAGTGGTGCGGACACAGAATGAGTGTGAAGGAGAGTGTGTGGGAGCCAACGACCCCACGGTCTTTGCACGTGGGAGGGAAAAGGTTGAGATGGGCCAGGTGCCTCTCTGGGGACAACAGGACCTACAGCATTTCATGTTGCTGCTGCAGAGCTTCACTGACCACCTGGAGAGAGAAGCAGGGTAGGGGAAAGAGAAAGATTAGGGGGGATTAAGAAAAATCCTTGCTACCTCAGATCTCCCATGGCCTGCTGCTTCTAGTTGGGCCCTATGCAGCCCACTTCCACATGACTCCTTCCCCTTGTGTTTTCCATTCTCCTGCACTACCCTGTCTCTGCTGCTCCAGGAGAAAGAGAAAGAGAGTCAGGTGTTGAAATGTCCCTTCTAATCCCTTGTCTCCCTATATCACATCTGCAGTAGGTTTCATGTTAAAAGAGTCAGTCGTTACCAATGCCCGAGAAGGAAAAGAGCATGGAAACCTGATCTTGAGCTACTTTGGTCTCCTTGCTGCCTCCCAACCTAACTCTCCTAGTGCCTGCAATCCAGTCCTACTTACCTCCCCATCACGTGTCTCGATGGTTTTGATGGTCACTGTTTTCTTGGTGTGAACCTCGGAGCTCCGCTGCTCTGGACTGGTTTCTGTGGGGCAAAAAGAGACATCAGCTGGTAAGAGGCATGTTCTAGGTGAAATGCAGCTGACTGGGGGTGAATGGAGAGGGACCACAGTCAGCAAAAACAAAAAACAGTGTGCAGTGGCTTGGCTGTAGGTCTTTTCCTCCTAGATCAGACTCACTCTCCTCCTTCAAAGTGCATTATTTTACTGTTGGCATGTTTTACATTGAAGCCGCCTAGGAAGGCCTTGGCAATTATGGACGGCCTATAAATACATGCAAATAAATAAATAAATCCATGCATGAGCTTCCCTTACTGCACAAGCTTATCTTTCTAAAGTGAGGTTTTACCTCTTTCCAGTCCTATGCATGGCACAGGAAGGAACCCTAAGCATCTTCACCCATGGCTTCAGAGGTTACTAAGAGAGGAACACCTTCCTAATGGCAGCTTGCGCACACACTTACGCAGCGAAGCCAGAGTCACACATGTGTTCCCCAGCCCTGCTTGACTACATGGTCTCAACTTGCCCTTGTCATCATAAATATTGATATAGAATGCCATTAGATCATGGGAGCCAGAGAAAAAGGAGCGCTTCCACTTCCCTGCCCTCATTCTGCTCTCCCTTCCGCTGCTTCAGTGCATGTTCTTTTGTGCACAGTAGGACTCATTATTAGGATCAGCCAGTAGGTCACAAAACAGTGAGCAAGGTTTTGAGTTCTATAGAACTCTTGGACAGGCTGGATATTATACAAAGGGCTTCTCTGCAAGAGTCTTTTAATGTACCACTTTAACAAGGCTTCTGCTTTGGGGTTCTATGTAGAATTAAGATCAGCTCTTTTATATGGGTTTTTTCTGTCTGTCCATCTGTCTGTCTGTCTCTGCCTTTTAATGTTACATTATACAACCACAAGGTCATGTTGTAGTATGCTGGAATGATGAAAATACATGAGCTTCTCATTCTGATTCACTTTGCCATTTCCAGATAATACTGTACATTCTTTGATCTCTAAAGTGTAGTAGTAATGCTTGGTAAGCATGGAAAAGGCCCTGGAGGATGACAACATAATGCAAAGAACCTAAAAAGCACTGTGGGTGAGGAGCCACAAGCACAGAATAAATGCCTCACGTAGAGAAGCCCAAAAAGATGAAATCATAAATCCAGCTTCCTAATTTAGTTGTTTTGTGTAACATCCAGCTTGATGAAGAGTTCTAGAGATTTCAAAAGGTTGCTCCTGGTTTTGCAACATTTTAGTGGTCCTAGTAAAGGTACTGCCCTACTATAGATGTGGGTTTTTTTTCTTATAACCCAATATGATTGATTTTGCTTGTTGTGATGTTGTACTTGGCTTCTCTGCATGAGAGGTTTAACCCATTGCTTTCCTGAGGCTTCTTCTTTCATCTTCATTAAAAGGGGAAGGAACAATGTGACCTTTACACATCGTTTTCAAAAAGAGGGTTTGTAGTTTTCTACATTCTATTAATCAACCACAAGGTGGCGCTGTGGTATAGTATACTTGCAATTCTGCACAAGGCTTTTGCTGCAGTTTGTTCCCTTTTGAATTTTAATAGGTGAGGCTTCTCACTCTAAAAAAAATAGTTGTGAAAATGGGTAGAGAACATGAGAGAGGCTCTGCAGGACAACAGTGCTGGGTAAAGGCCCCACATAGTTCTGTGAGTGAGGGATTACAACTGCACAATAAGCACCTCATGTAGAGAAGCCCATGCATGCTCATGCAAATACTCTTGTTATCCCAAACTCTGTATTAACATACAGAGTAAGACAGGTGTCCAATACTAGAGATGAATAGAAGACACATTCAGCTCTACAGCTAGATCTCACCAAAGATTTCTAACTCCCAGTTGCCCAACAACAGCAATAACTAAATATCTCACAAATTTAGCTAAGTTAAATTGCATGGAGGAAAAACCAGGAGAGGATTTTTGTGTGAAAGGAGCTTGGTTCAGATTCCATTTGCAGACTCCTAGACTGCACATGTGCTCAGAGCCATCCTGCTCTTTAATTCATAGCCTCCTTAATTCTTTTCTACTTGTGAGGGTTCAGGCAGATTTCTCCTTGCAAACATTCTTCTTCAACTCTAGTGGGAGGAACTGTTCATGGAGGCACAATTTTTAATGGAAAACCACCTCCTTCCCTACTACTTCTCCCTCCAAATGGTTCCCCTCCCTGCAAAAAACATGGTGACGGAGAGTATTGGTTGCATGAAACAAGTTGCTCTGCCTCATTAGATTGAAAACTGGGAGGGTTACTTCTCACTGCCCTGCTCCCATTTTAAGTGTTTTCCCCAAAATACCCATATTTCTTCACACACATACATGCACAAATGCATGAACATTCATGTATGCACAAACTCACAGGCCAGAATCTGTGCCACTCACCTCGGAAGTTGATTGCAGAAAAAGTTTGGATGGGCAGTGAAATGCTACATGGAAAGGAAGAAAGAAAATCAGCCTAGCCATTAGGTCTTTCCTTTTGCTCTAACAGCCCTGACACAACCACCACCAAGCCCTTTCCCTTTTCATTGTGCAACTGAACAGTCTGTGCTTCTTTCGCTTGCCTACTGGAAAGTTGTTTGCAGTACACTTATCATAACTGCTGTAACTCTGCTCTCACATTACTGAGTCATATTATAAATTATGGACCAAAATATTCAGCAAAGGGAAAATAAAAGTCCCTGAGAGACCAACTAGTCTATTTCTTTCCTGGGCGATGGTTAACATCTGCTTCCTCTTACAAAGCACAAGGAATACAATGGCCCTTTGTGCTGCAGTAGTACCCTAGGAGCTCACAATCAGTTGTTCCAATTTTGTTGTCTGCTGTTCCCTCAAGGAAAGTTTCTTTGGGCGTATCTAGGATGCTCTAGATGTGGCTTTATGTGCCTGAATTTTACAGCATGCCCAGGCATCTTCTATTTGTAGCCCTCCTGTTTTTCTACTACTTCTTCCATTTCTTCCACCCGATAGGAGAGGGTACATTTAGGAGGAAAGGATGGATGCAAGTGATTGATAGCACTAGGAGCCCTTATGCACACACAGGGAACAGTGCTCACCGGCTCTCTTCACCCTCCAGCAGCTTGCGGTAAGTAGCAATTTCGACATCAAGAGCCATCTTGACATTGAGCAGATCCTGGTACTCGCGCAGGTGTCGTGCCATCTCATCCTTCAAATGTCGGATCTCATCTTCAAGCCGCTGGATGGTGTCCTGGTAATTGCTAGCCTCGCCAGCAAAGCGTTCCTCCATCTCCCTCATTTGCCTCATCAAGGAGTCGTTCTAGAAGCAAAAAGGTGGAAATCAACACTTCAGAGCCCCAATGTGTGCTGACAGTCCTAGAAGAACCAGAGGCACGTTATCATGATTTCATTCAGGGTTCTTTTTCTCTCGCTATTCTCGCCGAATGTAAATGGTGACTGCTGGATGGAGGCAGGGGCACAGCCATGTTGTTGAGGAAGAAAATGAAACACCTGAACCTGATGCTTGAGAGAGAATGAGGTAAAGGTGAGGCAGCTGGGGTTATGAAAGAGGAAATGCCCCACCAAGAAAGAGGAGAGTGATCTGCACAAAATTTGCTGATGTTAAGTTATGTGTATGGAGACGCATTTGGAAATATAATTTAAATAGAAATACAGCACATCTTAGTGGGGTGTGGGAAGCTATGAACAGGTGACCTGCCTGCCTGCCTGCCTGCTCACTGCTCTATTGATTGATGGGCAGCAGTCTTTATGGTTCTTTCTCATTAGACCAGAATTGAATGGGGCAGACCTTCAAATGGAGGATGTCTTCAAAAAGACGTGGATCCCCCAAAGAGGATGCCTTCAAATAGAGGATGGTTCTTCCTTACCCTACAAAGGATGTAAGATTCAAATGAGCCATAACTTCCACTCCAGCATAGAGAGGAGCAATTTTATGGCATGTGTGAGAAAAAGAGCCCTCCACCTCTAGTAAGTTGAACACAAAGAAGTGCAAAACAGACCTTTCCTATGAGCACAGGAAACTGCCTTAGATTTGACTCAAATCAGTAGTTCATCCATACCACTGCTGGCTATTTTGGCTGGCACAGGTTCCAAAACAACTACCTGATATTCCTGAAATTGAACTCAGGATATTATTCACACGAACTGGATTGCCCATGGAGCAATCAGCCTCCACTAGGAGGATGTGAGTGGCCCCTTCACCATCAGGCAAAGATGCAGAAATGCAGCTGTCCCCCATCCCAATCAAGGCAGCTTCGGAGACATCACTGGCATTTGGATCATGGGGAATGAGACATCTTGAAGCACAAACATCACTTTAGGGAAATAGCTGGATTCTGAATCTGGCCCTGCCACTGATTCAGCACTGCACCTCACCGTGCCCTTGAGTGCATCAATCTCACAGGTGAATGACTGGATCTGGTGCCGGTATTCCATCATCTCCTGCTTGGCTTGGCGCAAGGCATCGTTGTTCTTGTTCGCTGCCTGGGTCAGGTCAGACACCTATATGCAAAAGGAGGGGCGGGAGGAAGCAGAGGAGGCGTTTGTGCAGATGGACACAAGAGAGGCACCCTTTGTCAAGCCACAAGCGACAGGCCAGCACGAACTTTCGCTAAGCCCTCAGTCAATGCAACGCTTCCTTTTGCCCCCTACCTTGGACTTGTACCATTCCTCAGCCTCAGAGATGTTCTTTGCAGCAATGCTCTCATACTGGGCACGGATATCACGCAGTGCTGCTGTCAGGTCAGGCTTGGACACATCCATTTCCACCTGGATTTGCTGCTCCTGCAGCTGCGATTGCAGCTCTCTAATTTCCTGGGAAAACCAAAGCCAGCAAAGATCAAGTTCATGGCAACAGGGCGAGATTGAAAGTCTACCAGTGACATGCATCCCTGCAACCCCGTGTTTGTACACCTCCCCACACACTCCATTTTTCTCTAGCTAAACCACACCTTTTGTTCCTACTTAATCACCATCTCCCCCATTCAATGCCCCCACCCATTCCTATCTGCCACTCCCTCCTTCTAACACTTACCTCCTCGTGCACCTTTTTGAGGAACGCAATTTCTTCCTGCAAGGATTCAATACGCCTCTCCAAGTCAATACGGGCCAGTGTGGCTGCATCAACATCCTGGGAGGACAGAGGAAGGGAGACATGATCTCAGTGGTAACAGAGGCAAGAGACTGGACCCTTTCTCAGGAGGACAACTTTTGTTGAAGGAAAGAGATGAGCTAAGTTGCTATTTAACTGCATGCTTCTGAAAAGGTCATGGAGCTGCTGCCCCTCTGATCTCTCATGGAGTCTGGGAGTCTGGCCAACGGAAACTATGCAGGAAGTTCTGAAAACCCAGGAAATGAGGAAGAAGACCCGCCACTCAGGGCCAGTCCATGTGATCCTTGAACAAGGGGCCCTGCTGCTAGTTTTCTATCAGGAGTCTTGATGCTGGAGCATGTGCCTTTCTGAGGCAACTGCGGGGGCACTCGCTCTCATGCTCACAGCAATTCAGCATAATCCACAGTCAATGGGAACAGGAGGCCGTGGCACATTGAGCAGAGCACTTCAACTCCCATTCTGCCTTAGGCTTTGCCCAGAATGACTGGCAACATCAACTGAGACTGAAAATCTGGGCCCAGCAGAAAAAAATACTCATCACAGCAGGGGCCACTGCATTAATGCAAGACTGGCAGAAAACGTTGGAAAGAAGCTGAGAAGGTGACAGAAGCAAGGGTGGAGGGAGAGTCTCAGAACGCCTTTCAGAGGCCGTGAGTGCTATAGTAAAGCTTTGCATTCAAGAATGTAGTGCCAGAGAAGGCCTCCTTGGAGAAAGGGACCAGTGACTTTGGGCAGAGCAAGACTCACTCCATCTTGGGGACAGCATTTTGCCCCATTTGCTCACACCCTCTAGCACATGGGTGGCAGTGCAAGTAAGGCCTGGACTTACTGCTCTGAAAGCGGCGAGGTTGTTCTCTGCTTCTTCCTTGAGATGAATCTCCTCCTGCAGCCTGTGGGAGTGAACAGAAGAAACGGATGACAGACAGGTAGACAGATAGGGCAGAGAAGCCCCTCACATGCCTGGAAACAGAGCCCTGATTTTTACACACGTCTCAGGGGTCTGAGGCCAGAGTGGCCCCACCCAAGCCAGTGCCCTGTGACTCCCTCCAAGCCACCAGAGCCATGGATGCATCTGGAATCGGCCATTCCCCGGCATTCCAGGGGTGGGTGGGTTCTGGCTGGGGTCCAAGCCAGCAGAGGAGCAGGAACATGTGCTCTCATTGCCTGTTATAGTCAAAGCCTCCAGCACAAAATCATGAGCTCACTGATGGGTAATGCACACTCCCCCTTCCCTTTTAGGGAAGCAGAGCTTTGCTACAGCAAGGCAGCCTGCCGAAGAAGCCAGAGACCTACAGATCTACAGCAGCAGCCTGAAAACATGCTGGGCAGGGGGGCCTTGAGCCTGAGAGACCCCACACAATGAGACAGACCCCACACCCCAGCCTGGGATTCTGGAAAACAGCAGTGGCCCGATGTGAGGTGTAGAGAGATGGGGACAGGTGGATGCTGCTGAGGTGCTAGAAAGCCGGGAATGGTCTTCTGAGCCTTTCAACATGGAAGAAGTGTGACATCACTTAGGGATGTGGGCATACAAAGGGCAAGCTGTGGGGACTGTGGTTGTGAAACGTGGAAATGGTGGCTGTAGGCAGCACTGGGCTCCAGTTCCAAACCAATTATTGTGGGCTCCCTTCCTCCGCCTGACTATGCTGAACCACACACACATACATCCACACTTCTGCTTATCCTAGCTGCTTTTAAGCAGGGGTAGCATCAGGAGTTCAAGTCCAGACTGTTCAAATATCTGAACAAAGCTCCCTGTGACTGTGACAGCAACCAGCTCTTACTTGTGCACTGCCAGCAGTGTTTTCAATGGCAAATCTTCGGTACTAATCTCTTTCCTAACCCTCCTGCTGTCTGTCCCTCTTTGTGTGATCTGAGAGCAAGAGCTACAATGGACCGCAAAGGCTGCCTCCATGTTAAGTACAAGTGGAATGCCTGCAGCCGAAAAAGATGGATTGCAACCTCAGCCAAAGTTAGGTGCTTTTCTCTGCCCTATAGCTCGGCTCTGTTACAGCATTCAGCAAAGGGTTCCACCTTTGCAAAGACCCAACACTTAGAAGGAGTCTTTGCAAATTTCTTTGTGAAGCTGCCCAGGCTCAAAGCGCTATTCCAGAGTGGCCCACTCAGAGGTCTTTGCTCTGTGGGACACTCTCGTTCAGATTTTTTTCCCCCTTATCCTTCTGAAATGTCAGAATTTCCTGTCAACACGCTTGGCTTTGCTGGCTCAGCGTTCCCTGCTTCCGGCTGAGTCCAGTTGTGCCCTGCCTGTCACACAGGAGCTAATTCAAGAGGAGAAAAGTGGGAGCATCTAACTAGGCCCAGAGCCAACCTGAAAGAGCAGGGGATAGGCTGCGAAAAGTAGAGCGCATGCTCTTCTGACTTGTAGGCCTTTAAAATAAAAAAGTGATATTTGAAAAAGGTGAGGCAGACACAGACACCCCCAAAAAAGTGAGGCAGTGGCAAACCTCCCCAGACCACCCTGGCTATGAGTTAGCCTCAAGCTGGGCAAGGCCATGGCATTAGGGCCTAGGCCTTGGCTCTGTTCCTGAGGGTGGGTGCCAGGATTGCACCTGCTTGAAAGCCTATTTTCTAATAAGTTGTGTAACCCTCCTTGCCCCTGCCCTGTCATAATGGCATTACCCAGAATCCATTGTGACCCAGAAGAGTGCCAGAGCTGGAAAGATGCCTCACTTCACTGCTTGGTGCAATTTGTGACGCGCTCACAGGCCTGTGGTTGGCTTTATTCTCTCCATTTTGCCTCATGCTCACTAGGTGGGGGTGGCAGGCATCACAGACCTTCCGGTTTTGCTCTCAGAATATACTTCAATTCATTCTGTAGGAATAATCATTAGGGCTGCCCCTTTTCTTCCCATCACTCTCAGTGGCTGCAACTGGCCGAAGGCTCTGTGACAGGGAGACATTTGGCAGGTGTGGCTTTCCCAGCAACTGTGTCAAAATAGCTGTTCATCGAATTTCTGGGTTCCATGCAGCTGCTGAAAGCAGAGAGAAAGCTTCTCTCGGGAGAGAAAGGGTGGTGATCCCACCTGAGGCTACGGACAACCCTTTATAGCCGGGAACCTTGCAGGGTGTAATGTCTTAGGGAATAAGGCCAGAATATGATGAACTCCAGGGAGCAGCACCTTTCCTAATAACAGTAAGCCTTTCCTGCTGAATAACTAGGAGATTGTGGCACCAGGAAATGAATGAGTTAAAGGTGTAGTGGATAAGTCAGTATCCTTGCAACTGTACCTGCTTCAGCTCTTTGGTGTAACTTGTAAAGGCTGGAAGCACAGCTTGGAAGTGGAATCCTGTTACTATCCCACAAATACCTCCTGCTTGTGTGCATGTTTGTGGCATCAAGCTCGGTGCTGACTATTGTGATTTTTTAAATAATTATCTGTCTCCTTATCACTAAGATTCAGGGTAAGAGAAATGATGTTTTTTATCCCAGCTTGTTCCTACACCACTTTACAGATACAAACAGGCAGAAGAAAGTCCTAAGGATAACCCCAATAATAAGAGACAAGCTTGGGAGCAAGGAGCTCCCTTGGTTCAGCTTATCAAAGCAAAGATCAAGAGGTCATCTGATAAAAGCCTCACAGCAGATGCAGCATCATTAACCATTCTCTGCATGTGTGTGCACACTGGTGTACTGATTTGCATCACTTCCAGATCCAATCAGGGTGTTTACCAAACATAATTTGCTCGTTTAATCCAATAAAAGTGGGAGGGGATTCCTTGGGCATGGAGGAGGATGCTGAGGATGCCTCATTAGTATACTGTCTCCTTCAAGTGTATGATTCTCAACCGGCCTAAAATCTGTGAAGATCATTCTAAACCTGATGCAAAGACTATTTTTTCTTAGATTGCAAACTGAAATCATTACACGAGACCATTTGAACATCCATATACTTCCTTAAAGTGAATGTTTCTGGCCAATGTCCATGCCGACTGTGAATCGTGTTAGTTGCAATCCAACACATCTGAAAGTATGCAAGTTGGGAAAGGCTGGAGTATGTTAAGGCCAATGTCTAGATTTTCTTAGGTTTATGCAGACAGAGAAGAGGCTCTGTGCTGAGAGGTTGGTATGGCATGGAAGGCAGTACCATCATGGAACATGTCCTGAAACTATGTTCTAAGAATAAGTGGCTTGTTATGAGTTCCTGAACCAGAATGTGGAGGATATCATCTGATGGGACTCCGGAGAAGAAGGTCAGTTACCCACCAGTTTTGGACATAGTGCATCAAGCGTTTTTGAAACCTCTGTGCCCCATTAAGCCCCCCAGATCAACTTTGCAAAGGTGAGGAGCTTCTTCAAGGGAGGAATACCTTCCAAAAAGGTGGCTAGAGCTTTGAGCAAGTACTGACAGGGGTGTGGGGATGTGATGGTAGCATTAGGGCAGAGGATAGGCAGCTTGGGCAGAAGAGCAACATCAGAGTGAAAGACACCACATGCAAAAGTAAAGCATGTCCTTTAAGATCCTGATAAAGGGGGGCATAAGATAGATGAGTGTGTTTGCATTGCCTTTTGGAAGGCCAGGGCTGTGAGATGGCTATGTTGAACCACACACACAGCTGTATCTTGTGCATCTCTGCCTTAGTCACCTCAGAGATGAATACCTGTTCAGATCTAGGAAAGAACCCCGGGCAGCCGCTCAGAGAGCCCAAATGCCGGTTAATGTAGCAGTATATAAATTGAACTAACAAGTAATCACATAAATATTCATAGTTAGGGAGGGAGAAACTTAGGCAAAGCGAGTGGCCACAAGGACCTGGCATTTCCAGGCTCACCTCTGCTTCAGCTTCTGGAGGTCATCGAGCAGGTTGTCCCTCTCCACATCGACCCGTGCTCGCTGGCTGGTCAGCATCTCCACCTGACGCCGCAGCTCCCTCAGCTCCTCTTCATAGATCTCAGCCACCCGTGTGGGCTCCTTGCCCTTGAGCCGGTTGACTTCAGCCACCATGAGGGCATTCTGCTGCTCCAGGAACCGGACTTTCTCAATGTAGTTGGCAAAGCGGTCATTGAGCTCCTGCAGCTCCACCTTCTCATTGGTGCGTGTCTGCAGGAACTCCTGGTTCATGGCATCGGCCAGGGAGAAGTCAAGGACCTCGCCAGCACCTTGATAGACTGAGCGCAGCGGGGCCGCATAGCTGGTTCGGAAGCTGGAGAGGCTGGGTGGAGCAGCACCTCGGGACACTTGGTAGACACGAGAGGAGATGGTGCTGGCAGAAGAGCCCTTGCTGCCAAAGGAGGCGCGCGGGAAGGAAGGCGGAGCCGACCCAGCCCCACCAAAGGTACGGCGGTATGAAGAGAGCCGCTGGCTGGAGGAGTAGGACTGGCTCATGGTGGCGGCTGGGTAAGACAGAGGCAGGAAGGTCACAGCTGCTCTGGGTGAGCAAGTCAGAGTCGGGAGGAGGACTGGAGCTGTGGCTATTTGTATCTCACAACCCTTGACGTCACCCAGCTGGCCCCTCCCAATTTCCCCCAGCACTTCAGCTCCCAGTTTGGAACAGCTGTGGATTCCTCTGTCAGGGAGGGAGAAAGCTCTCCAAGGCTGGGACAGGGAGATAGATTGTGGCAGCGAGCGAGTTATGGGATGCAGTAGTTCCGTTTTGCTTGGCAACAGCAAGGCCTACCCAAGGAAGACCTTAGCATGTGGCCCTGGGCCTAGAAGGTGATGGCAAGAAACAGGATGGCAGAGGGAGTCAGGTTTATGAAAAATGCCAGGTTTGGAAAGCGTGAGGGGTGAAGAGAGATCATTGAAGGAGCAGGAGAGTTGCAGTGAAGGAAAATTCTTTCTGAAGGGTAAACAGCTACACAAGGAACAGAGAAAAAGAAGCCAAGGATATATTAGGATATATGAATTCCACTGCAACAAAAAGAAAAACAAGAAAAGAAACAAGTCAGTAGTTGTACGCACACACACATGCATGCACACACAAGTACCCTAAAGGTTTGGGCAGGGATGCAGGTTCTGTGGAGAGGAATGAAGCCAAATCACTTGCAGCATTGATTAAGGTGGCTAAATAAATGTATCCCAGTATAATAGAAGCATATTTAACCCTATATGTAATTGAAGTACTAGGGAATGGGTAAGATGGGTTCTGAAGACAATGATTTCTAGCTTACAGAGTATAGGGCAGCCAGTGGCCATCCAGGGAGCTAGTCCACATGCATTCCCAAAGGCAGGATCACTGGAGGGGGTGGGTGGAGGTGAAGTGAAGAGAATCAGTAAGCATATTTGCTGGTGGCAGGTGCTAGCAATGCCAAGAGGGCTTCCATGCTCTTCCTTTTTGGCTGAAAGAGCTATTTCTAGGGAGCAAGAGGAGGTGTTTTCTACGCCCCTCACCAACACATTGCAAAGCCATCCTAAATGAATTCTGTTCACACAGAATCCAAAGGACACTTCAGTTCTCCTGCCTGGATGCAGGAACCAAGAGCAAGCCCCATTTCCTTGGGAAATGGGGGAGATTAGAATGGGGTACCCTACTGGATACTATGCCTTCTCCCAGTGTGGGGCTGAGTCATTGTCCATTTCCCTGGGAGATAATCTCAGTTTGCAGTGAGTCACCCTGTTTATCCATGTGCCCAGAATGGAGCCAGCCAGTGATGTCAGAGGCTGTACTCCTCCTTGGTGCATTCCCCAGGTGGCAGCCACTAAACCTAAATAGCTCTGCTGCTATGCCGCCTGTCAAGAGTGCTATTCGGAGCCTTGGGGAGGAGGGGTGCTAAAAGCGACAGAAGCTCTTTCTGTCCCTGGGGACATTAGGAGGCCCATGCCGGAGAAGACCAAAGGCCTGCCCAGCCCAGCACTTTGTCCCTGGGCTGGCAAACCAGATGCCCCAAGGATGCCCACAAACCAGGCACGAGGGCAATAGCACCCAGCCCCTCCTCGTTCTGAAAGACAGTCTGTCTCTCATCTTGGAGGCCACATACGCATTATGAGTAGCAGGCATTAATAGCCTCATCCTCCACTAACTCTTTGGATTCCCTTTTAAAGCCATCTACAGTGGTGGCCATCACTCCATCTTGTAAAAGCAACCTCAACAGTAGAACTGTGTGCTGTGTGAAGAAGTACATGCTGTCTCCCATCCTGAATTTCCCACCATTCAGATGAAAGTTTTCTCTATCCCTTTCCTCTACCTGGGGGCAAGGGAAACTTTTTCAGCTCAAAGACAGGCACATCAAGGACCGCAACCCTTCCCCCCATTCTGCACCAGCGTAAAGGCTTCAAAAGAGGCTTTTAAAAAGCCACTGCCGTGTTGGGGGACACTTGTTTGAGGAAGGATTGGAGCATTGTGGAGGGATGGGGGTCCCCCAGATACTTTCCACATCTTGCATGGGTGGCGACTGTATGAAAACCCTAAACAGAGGCTGATGGTGGCAACAGCAGCAGTGGCAGTGAGGGGCATCAGAGATAACAGCAAAGACAGCAGATTTCTCTTGCTTGTGGTAGAGAGGAAAGGAAGGATAGAGACCCTCTGTGTGCCATTCCAGCCTGCAATCCAAAGGCGCCCGATCCTTGCTTTACACCTTGCACCATGAACATGCACATGTCAGAGAATCCTAGGTCTGGAAAAGACCTTAAAGGTCATCTAATGCATCTATGCAGGGAATGCCCGTCTACAGCAACCCTGGTGGGTGGTCATTCAGGCTTTGCATAAAACCTCTAACCAAAGAGAGTCCCCCTCTTATTTGCCTTGCACTTAAAATGAGAAGACCCCAAATGTTGTGACCTTTCCTCCATCAGAGGAGCGTTACTGCAGCCCCTTAATCATTCCTGCACCTTTCTGAGATGCGGGTGAGCAGAACTGTAGAGCGCTCCAAGGGTCGTCGCACCACGGAGCTGCGCCATAATATTGGCAGCTTTGAAACAATCTGTAGCATGAAGTGGCTGCCAGTGGCACGCTGCAGCGTCCTGAGCAACACTGTGTGTGTGATGATAACGCCTTGCACTGATGGCGATACTGTCAGCATTTTCTGCACAGCCCATTGCAGACTGAGAAGACTTCCAAAGCCATGATACCCGAAATAAGGCACCTCCATTGTATTCTATAGAACTGTAACATTGTGCATAAGGTGTGGGGAAGCATTGGTCTTACAAGACAAAATACAAGACAGTGCCAAAGTCCTTTATTTGCCTCCTTTACTGAAAGTTTTTGAAGTAAGTTTTGTGTAAGACTGTCCAGGATTCTTCTTTAGGCTGGATTCCAGCCTATGTATCACCCACTCTGCTGCATTCCCTTGTAAGGGCTTTTCTACATGAGGCATTTATGGTGCACTCGTCATTCCTTACTCATGGTTGTTTATGGGTTTTACAGATGATACTGTGACCCTCCAGTTTCATTCCTGTTTCTAAAGAGTGCTTTAGGCATGTTTTTGTAGAGGAGGGGAAATGCGGCATTTAATTAAAAGTGATAGAACATGTATTTCTCACTGGTATATTTGTGCTGTACTCTTACATCATAGTGCCACCTAGAGGTTATGTAGCAAAAAAGCAGGAAAGGATATGTTCTGTATGTAGTGCTCGAATCTCAATTCTGCAATGAACCTGAAATGAGAAACAGCAGACTAACAACCTCATATTGCAAAGCTCCAAATGTATCACTTTTCCACTAAAATTAATGACTCAATAAAGTGGTTGGATTACAGCCTGTATTTTGAGAAGCTCACTTGTAAAATGGCCAACAAAGGACAAATGGGTAATTTTGGAAGCAGTGTAACTTGTGCCTTGGGCAGAGACTTTTGTGGCCAGTTTGGAACCCCAGGGCATGTGCCAGTCCCATTTGATGGCCATCCAAAAAATGTGATCTCCAGTTGAGGAAGCAGGCATTGAACTATCAGCTGCTCTGCCCTGGGCTTCCATGTGGTGCTGGCAAGTCCCTGACTCCTAAATAGTCAGATACCCCTCAAGTGTTGGAACTTAGTTTGCTCCATGGAGCCAGTGCACAGAAGGTGACTGACTTCACTTCATTTCAACAAGGAAGAAGACATGAAGCAGATCATAGTAAACAGCAGAAACAAGTTAATGTGAAAGAAAGATTCAAAGCATCAGAATAGAACTAAAATAAAAAAGTCTTTCATACACACATGTGGCAAATGAAGAACACGGTTGTTCATATGCACGTGTTTAATCTATACAAAATCTCTGGCATATTGTTGTATTTATTTAATCTTGTTTGTAAACTGTCCAGAGATGCATAGTGATTGGATGGGTTAGAAATATCCCAAACAAACAAACAAACAAACAAACAAGTGTATTAATGTTGCATGTAGGATCTAGCTGTGCCATTCAGAGTTCATTTTACAGACCCTCACTGTGTAACGGTACTGCTCCAGCATTCCGAATCCCCACCTCTGGGACAGCAGTGGCTCTTGCTTCCTTTCTGGCAATGGCCCTGCTTCACCTAAGGAATATCATACCCTTTTATTTTCTTCCCAAATTCCAAAACTAAATTCCCTCTGAAACCCACACTCCATCCTGCAGTAACATCACAGCACATCCCATTATCTGGCACAGTGAAGAACGTCTTTTGAAAACCAAAAAACATGCGTATTGAGAGGAAGTGCTTAGAATAAAGAAATGGCATATGGGGAGCAGGAACCATAAAACAAGGTTACAAAGACCAGCCACAATTCTTGCATTACTCTGTAGGAGCTCCAAAGTAGGCACGAGGCAGATTGTGGTCCACTTGCCAATTTCTGGTGGACCACCAAGGGCCTGCTGGTTGTTGGGACTCTTGCAAAGGAAGTTGGATGGGTTCTCCTGGTCAGATCCAATAAATCACTTTTAAAAAGAGTGCATCCTCAAGATCACTTGACATAAACTTGGGAAATCCTAAATGTGCAGTTTTGTAAAGCACCAGATGTAGTAATGGCTACCAGCTTAGACAGCCTTAAAAGTTGGTTAGACAATCATATGCAGGGCAAGGCTATCAATGGCTACTGGTTATCATGGCTATATAAAACCTCCAGCATCAGAGGTAGTGGGTAGGTTCACATGACACTTTAAGCCATGATAGTTTATAAGCCATGCTGGTTTATAAGCACTGCGTTTTCTGATCCCTACAGTCTCCCCATAGGGTGTTTTATATGCCAATCTGGGTATCCTGAAGAAGAATTGAGCGGGTGTCCCCAAAACCAATCTTTTTACAGGGACTTGCTGGTTTTTAAGAGGGGGTTAAAAAGGTGGGATGCAAGGAAAACACCCTTTGCAGCAAAATCCTTGGCTTTGGGAAATTGGCCATGTGGCCCTGGGCTGCCCTCCTTTTCCCAATAGCAGGTAATGCAGAGGCACTTTTTAAAAAATGTCAGGATGCAGCCAGGGCAAAATGGCTTGCCAGGGAGGATATTCCTGGTGTGGAGGGAGGAGGATGGAGGCAGGAGGAGTGGGAAAGCGGAAGGAGGAGGAGGCGCAGAACCCC